CTGGTGCCGAAAAACAAATAACAACGGCGCCAGGCAGTCCTCTCTGGGGAGCACATTCCATAGATTGGGCGCCACCGCAGAGAAAGCCCTCCTCCGAGTACCTACCCTCCTAATTTCTTTCATGGTGGGTTCCCAGAGAAGGGCCTCTCCCGCAGATCTCAGGGGGTGGGAGGGCGTATATGGATGTAAGCGCTCCTTCAGGTAGCCAGGACCCAAGCCGTTTAGGGCTTTATAGGTCATCACCAACACCTTGAATTGGGCCCAGACTTCAATGGGAAGACAGTGAAGCTGACAGAGGACTGCAGTCATGTGAACATAACGCCCAGTCCCCGTCAGCAGCCTGGCAGCTCTATTTTGAACCAATTGAAGTATCCAGACCGTCTTCAAGGGTAGCCCCACGTAGAGCGCGTTACAGAAGTCAAGACAGGAAGTCACCAATGTGTGTGTCACTGTCGCCAGGCAGTTGTACTCCAGGTAGGGGCGCAGCTGATGGATCAGCCGAAGCTGAAGCTGTTACAAGATGTCTTGCAGAGAAACATGGTCTATTCTATGGTTTCTTGGTTCGATGATGGCTTGTTGTGTCATCTGAACCCAGGAAACAACACTCATCATGGGACTGAAGCCAGAAACAAAGAGCTACCTGGCAAGAGCACCTGAGTAGACACTGTGCTGGAGGTACATTCTCACCGGTGGGAGTCAGAAAAGGGGATGAGCAAGGGAATCAGTTGAGTGGCACTGATGTGGATGAGGCTTGTCTGGCCAGTTAGTTTTTAGCCCTTCTGTTTGTGTGTGAGAGAGAGTTTTCCCTCTAGAGCACATGGGAGGCAGTGGGGATAGCAACGGTGCGGTGCAGCCCCCAACTGGGCACTGCTTCCTGTTTGGTTTCTGCCTTTTGCCTGGGCATGGATCAGGTGCCTCCACTCCTGTTCCAGCAGTCCCTTCTGGAGGAGGAGATGACACCTGACCAGCTGCCTCCCTCCTTCTGTTACACACCAGGGCATGAGACATATTTATACAGTAGAGACCACTTGGCGAACCATGAGCCAAACTCATCTTCCAGCTGTCAAAGTGAGAAGCCTCGTTACTTCCTACAGTGTCTGCTGGGATTCTGTCTGGGGAACAGGAAGAAGATGGCAGGAAAGAAGAGAGTTGCCATCATGAACCTGACCATCTACCCAGAACATCAAGGTTAAAAACAATGAACCATGGTATTCCAGCAGGGTTGCTTGTCATGCTATGTAATCCCTGCCAGCGTGTCTCCAAATATTTGCAACTTTTCTCCCCAAGTCCTCCATACAAGGAAAACAAGCCGTGAGTATGGGGGAAAGAAGAAGTGTTGCTCTATTGCTTCAAAGGATCATAAACAGCTCCACGAGGGGTTTCCAGTCCAGTGTTTTGGGGAAGGGATAAGAAGAGCCATGCTGGGTGGACCAAGAGTCCATCTAGTCCAGCCTTCCACGCACGGGGTGGCAAGCCGGCTGCACACAGGGTGCCTCCAGCAGGGTGGGGGCAAGGCCTCCCCCTGCCCAAGCTCCTCCGCAGCTGTGTGTGCAGGCGGGCCGCCCCTGGTGAAGCAGGCAGCATGTGGCCCGCAAGGCCAGGAGCCAAGGAGGGCCTCCTCCCTCATGATCCTGTCCAATCCCCCTTTAAAGCCACCTGCACTGGCAGGCCTCCACATCCCAGGGCAGCGGGCTCCATAGTTTAATTATACACCGTGTGAAGAAGTGCCTCCTTTTATCTGCCCCAAACATCCCACCATGTTAAGATTTTTTTTTTAAATAATATAAAGCAGGACCGATACTGCATACTAGGCTATTTCTCTTTCCAAAGACCAGGAGTGTTTAAACACACAAAAGGGGAAGGGGGTTGGCAGAGACGGCGGGCCCTGAAAGAGGGTCTCCTTGGGTGCCTGTTTGGAACATGCTGGACACCCAGCTCCTGCTTCCTCTGCCGCTGCATCATCCGCACGACCCCCTTTGCACCATTTGGCGACTCTGCTGCCAACGGTTCAGAAACAAAACCAGGCGCGAGCTATTTTCCACATATCTGAACTCTTTCATCCCTGCAGCGGTCCTTCTTGCCAGGGACAGCTCTACCCCTCTGCCATTTTCATACAATTCCCCCAAACCCTTGGTGCAAGGTAAGGGGACAGGAGCCGCTTGCTCCCCTTCACCCTGTGTTTAAATAGGACTGTCCTGCAAAAATCCTAACCACAGGGGTGGTGTCTGTGCAGTATGTTATTTTCATAACACAAATTGGGGCATCAGCACATCACATCGGGGCATCAGCGCACTGTCTTCTTATGGTGAAGACAGAGAGGGCAAGGGGTTACCAAATTCCCATCTCCCTGCCATGCAGCCTGCAGGCTAATGCATTACCCACAGGCTGCCACCACCCTTAGCTTGAGCCAGGGACTCGCCGACTTTTCCAGGTATATTTGATGGCACAGAAATAAAAATTCAATACTCAAGCCAAAAGGTCTAAACAGAAGCAATACCAAAGAAAAGGCCCTGAATTTAGTACTGAGGCTCATGTGGAAGAAAGTACAGACAAACCTTGAAACTGTTGTGAAGCTTAATTAACCATGAGGAATTGGGAAAGCCATGCACAAATCTGGTTTCCTGAAACCAGAGAACACCTTCACCACCATGCTGCAGGCAAATACAGTAACCCAGCCCCCAACCCTAAGCTGTACTTTACCCAAGTAGGAGTATTCCAATAGAACAGGGCCCAAAAGCCACTTGGGACGGGCAGACAAAGACTGAAGATCAGGAAGAAGATGAATGAAAAGCTTAGAATGAAGGCCAAATGGCAACAGTAGTTTCCGCAGATTTATGCTCTCCCCCTGGCCCTTGCCAAATGTGAGGTGAGCCTCCTTAGCCAGTCCCTATCTAGCTGAATCTTTTGCTCAGAGAGAAGCCTCCTGGGCCAGTCGCCACTGGGCTGAGCCACCTCTTCAGCTTTCAGAAGGGGAAGTGAGGAATGAGAAGCGCTCGCCACAGCCCAGCCGGGCTCATTCTGCCTGATCTGGCAAGTGGTTCACTCCGGTCTTGAAGGCCGGGAGACCAGCTCAGTGTAACCCATGTAGGGGAGTTGATTAATATGTCCAAGTCCCTCTTCATGGAATGGATCATCCTTCCCACAGCTAAAGCTGAACAAGCAATGGCTTATAAACTCAGTAAACTCTGTTACAAGAATGGATGGGCAGGTCACACGTGGTGCAAGACATTTTATTTGGTTCTATTATTCAGTGCCACAGAATAAATCCTATTGGCCCTTTCCCAGGATACCCACTTTGGAAAACACCCATTTGGCTTCTCAATGAAAATCAGTATACATTTACTGAAACATGAATCTGAATTATGATTATTACATTGTAGTTCTGTCCCACCATTTCTCCTCTTGTGAGGCACCCAACGTAGCTTACGTCATTCTCCTCTATTCCATTTTATCCTCACAACAGCCCTTTGAGGCGGAGGGTGTGGAACTGGCTGAAAGTCACCTAGTGAGGTTCATGGCTGAGTGGGGACTAGAACCCGGATCTCCCAGGTCCCCAGTCCAGCACTCAAACCACCGCACCATGCTGGCTCTCGAATTATTGTGCAACAGATTCTCGTGTTCAGGCTTGTACTTGTGTTAACTCCATATGCCATAAGGTATCGTGTCCCAGTGCAGGTTAGGGAATGCCGATCCTTCCCAAGGTCCCTGAGGAGTAACCTGCTGGGAGTAACCTGCTGGGGACTGCAGGCCCCATGGAGACCCCTGTGGCACCTCTCCACTGCCCTTCGACCTTCTTCCCCTCTCAGCAGGCCTCTCTTGCCAGGGGCCTCTTGCCTCTGAAACCAGGTCAGAGCCTGGAGCAAATTTCATTGCAAGGCACAGAATCCTCACCAGGTTCTGGCTCATTTCAGTCTCTGAAATGTTCTTGTGCCAGTTTGTCACATGTTTTACTACTGAATTCTCACTTGACATGCTTCGTACATGTGTTTATCTGAAGCAAAATGTCTGGATTGCCCATTGATTGGCACAGGACAGAACCTTGGAAAGAACGGAGGTCTGTGTTCCCACTGGATTACATCATCGGCCACGGGTTGCATAGTCAGATTTTGAAACAACAAAAACATCATGTGTGAGTTACTTATACAGCCCAAAGTATTCCTGTATTAGTAAAGAATGGACAGCAGGCATCGAGACAAGGGAGCTTGCTGCTCTATTTCCTGCGCACCTGGCAATCCTAAGTCTTGCGGGCCACTCGCTGAGAATATGTCTGGGTCAGATCTTCCATTGCTTTTTCACTGGCATGAACCATATAATGTGTGAATCAGAGTTCAAGAGGAGCAGCCTGAGCACTTTTCCTGTGGAAGGATTGTGGGAGACATTGGGAACTCTGGGGTAAACTATAACAGGAGAAGGACGGGGCAGGAACCAATGAAAGAAATTCAAGGGTGATCACCTGTATAATTGCCAAGTGTCCACACAGATTTGTGAATGTCAAACAAAAGAAAAAAATGGTGCAATGCATCTGCACAGAATGTACAACATGCTCACCTCTCTCTCACATGCACACACTTCGTTCTCTCCCCGCTCCCCCTGTCTTTCAGGCTATCTATAGAATCTCTGCGTGTATCCCATGTTCATGCTGCCTGTCAGTTTAAGACTGTGACACACACACACAGCCCGAGTAGTTTCATTAAGAAAGCATGTTGCTTTTGGTGCCTGCTCCCGGGTCTGGAGCCTGCAGCCTCTGAATGCTGCTCTCTCTCTCTCTCTCTCTCTCTCTCTCCCCCCCACCCCCTCTCTCTCCTGGAGCTGCCTGCCTCTTGCTACTGGGAAATCTTTGATGCAAAGCAAGTGGAAGAAGTTGCAGTCAGCACTGGGCTCTTCCCCTCTTTCCCCAGCCTCTCTCATTTCTCTGCATGCTCTTTGTATTGATGGATGAGCTCAAGCCTGAAAACCTGAACTATTGAGAAGCTGAATTCAGACCTGGAGTAAAACGAATTATGTCTGTAACTCAAGCGGAGGGTGGCTCCCCATCGTGTCTGAATGGGTCCTCCAACACAGAGCTGAATGGAACGCAAGAGCCTTTTGGGAACCCATCTGCGGACTATGATGAGGAGGAATTTCTACAGTTTCTTTGGAGGGAATATTTGCATCCCAAAGAATATGAATGGGTCCTGATTGCTGGATATATTGTTGTGTTTCTTGTAGCTCTCATAGGAAACATTCTGGGTGAGTACCAGCTAGTGGAGATGTAACCTTATATTTACTTTGATACTGTTGACATTGACATCAGTTTTCTACTGATAAAACTTTAAACGCCAGCAGTGCAAGGCAGGGTTTTAAAAGCGCCGTTTCTCTTTAATAATATATAAGATTGGTAGATTGTGACACAGCATTGTGTTTGATATGATTTCACTTCCATCCCTTTATTCTGAAGAGTGAAATACCTGTTCTTTTCTGTGAGAAATATAAGCCCATTCCATTACAGGCACCTTGGCTGTTGGGAAATTCATTTCCAAAAAATATTAATTCTGCATTCTGTCAATAACCACATTTATTTGCAGGATTTTGGTGTAGATCTTCAGTTCAGCCTGAAGTCCCAGAGCCATTTGACTGATCACTGAACTGAGTAGGATTCACTTTTGACATGTTTGAGAGTGCACTGCAAGTGTCCGTTGGCACAGAGCATTAGAAAGTGTGTTTAGACATTCAGACCCAGGAGTGTGTCATTAACAGGTGAGGGACACTCTGATCTTAACCACTGCAAACCATATTGAATTCAATGACTCTTCAAACCATAGTCATTTATAGAAGGGCAGAGCTGCCTCCTCTGGTGTGATTTTGCTGTCCGTTAAGCAGGAGTGCTGAAATAGTCACTCTTCATTCATGGCATTGCAGGAAGGCTGACTGGCACCAGACCTTTGTTGCTTCATTCATACGGGTAGAATTATGAATGACTATGTCTATTTGTGGCTTCATTCATGATTGTCGAGGGAACTGTGAATGAAATTCTGAATGACAATTTACCCTTCTAGACCTAACGGCTGTTCTTTGCTATTCTCAATGCCGTTGGCTCCCATATCCCCTGATCTCAGTGTGGCTGTTTCAGCCAAGCTGGCAGAGCTCACATGGAATGCTTAAACGGAATGAGATGCCTTAGCAAAGTGAAGACTAGCACTATAAAAGAAATCATAAAGAGAGATGACTCTAACACTTCCAATGCATTGCATGTTGCACATATATAAGTAATGGATTATATGATGCCTGGGCAAAGTAAACTATTCCCATCCCTTGTACTGGATATGATGCCAATGGAGAAGGGACACCAGAATGTAGGGAACACTCCTATGCCCCCCACCCCAATGCATATAAGCCTCCACACCTGGAGGCTGATGCGCAACCTATGCCCTCACTAACTATGGCAGCAGTGATCTTCACCACCACCACCACCACCACCATGCTGGATGCCCTTCTTAAAATCTAGGTGGCCATTTTTCACTGTCCATACATTCTGAGGAGGGAGAAGGAGGGTCTGTTTCCAGTACAAATTGGTGTACATTCCAGCCCCAGACTCCTCCCCTCCCTGCCCCTGGAACAGCCCTTGGTGTCATCTCCAAGGCACACCTCCTGTGGGTGGTGGACGGGATTGCAGATTCTCTGAGCTGGGGCCCTGAATAATCCTGTGCACCCTCAGAGAATATCAGGAGGCTCTGGGATGGCCCCCGGAATCACTGAAATTAAACACACACTCCAACTCATGTCTCCTTAGACCAAGCAGACTTTGGCTTGCAGAATCAGTAAGAATAATCATCATTTTACTAGAACCCTGCAATCTATCAACCAGAGACTTTGCTTTACAGAACCCTGAGCCCATGGGCATGTTTGGAATACCAGAACTGAATGGCATTCACAATCCATCTACACAAAAAGCTACTCCAAATTGCTCCATACTTCCTTAATTTCATGATTGAAAGTGTGGAGGGAAAGGATTTCTGAGGATGAAATCCTGGTTGATCTACTGCATTTCCTGCAAAAAAAAAAAAAAAAAACCTGCCAGGAGATCCAGACCTACCTTCTGTCCACTCCAAAATAAAGGATAGCTGAGAGAAGGGTAAGCCACAGCAAGAAGTGCTCCTAAGAACCTTCTCAGAAAAGAGGAATGGAAGGCAGCAAATATAAAGGAGGTGATGTAGATGAGTTAAGAAGATATATAAATAGACACAGGGACTGGTGGAAGCAGATGACTGACTGAATGAATAAAACTGAGTGAATATGAATCATTTATTTGGACATTATGGAGGACAAAGGAGAGTTATCAGAGACATCTCCTAATTGTGCAAAATCAAGAGAGATAAACTTCATTTATAGAAAGGGGAGGGAAAATAGTTTCAGAGGAAGGAATATTAGGAAAACTGCATGAGATCATTTGTTACATCTGTGTCTTATAAACTATTTCAGGGTCCTGTCCATGGTTTCTCCCACCCCATGGCAGCTGCCACCATTTTATCCTCAGGTTTGGCTGGGAGAGAGAGATTAGCCCGAGCTAATCTAATAGAGCTTATTGCCAAGTGGGAATTTGAGGCTGGCTCTTCCCAGTCCCAGCCTGACACTTTCCAGGTCTTTTCTATGTACGAATAGCTACACATTTATGGATTTCCGGTGTCATATAACATGGTTAAAATGTACAGGCAAGTTTTAGTTACTCTAGCTACTATTTCTATCTTCATCCTCACCATTATTGCTATTTGACTATTCATAAGGGATAGACTTAACATTCCATTCTGAATGTTAAGTTTAGAGGTTCGGAGGTCACTTACTTAAATCCGGTGCAAGCTTTCTTACAGCTTGGTTGGGTGAATCAGTGCCCTTCAGGGCATCCTCCTTTTATGCCATACCTATGAGATGCCATATCAACCACCGGATCACCTTCTTCAGTTGTGCCACACAGAGGCATTGGGAATAATGCAGAGGGCAATCTGTGGGCAACCTGCAGTTTTCAGGTGGCTGGTAAACAGGCTGTCTTTGACAGCATTCCCGCTGACTAGTTAGGCTGGTTGGGACTTGTGGACATTGTAGTCCAATCCATCTGGAGGACACTGGATTGGAGAACTCTTATCTAGGAAATCCATCTTTCATTCACTGGATGATGAATATCCAGTCCATCCAGGGTCCTCCAGATGGATTGGAGAACTCTTACCTAAGATATTCATCATTGATTGATTGATTGATTGATTGATTCAAATGCACTCCACATTCTTGATCCAAACTGGCATTTGAAAAGGGGTACAGTCGATATTATACCGTAGTAATAATGTTGTTGTTGTTATTAGTTGCGAAGTCGTGTCCAACCCATCGCAACCCCATGGACAACACTCCTCCAGGCCTCCCTGTCCTCCACCATCTCCCGGAGTCCACTTAAGCTCACACCGACTGCTTCCATGACTCCATCTAGCCACCTCATCCTCTGCCGTCCCCTTCTTCTTTTGCCATCAGTTGTTCCCAGCATTAGGCTCTTCTCATTAGGTGTCCAACGTATTTGAGTTTCATCTTCAGGATCTGGCCTTCTAAAGAGCAGTCAGGATTGATCTCTTCTAGAACTGACCAGTTTGATCACCTTGCAGTCCAAGGGACTCGCAGGAGTCTCCTCCAGTACCACAATTCAAAGGCCTCAGTTCTTCAGTGCTCAGCCTTCCTTATGGTCCAACTTTCACAGCCACACACTTTCAAGCCATACATTGCAAAGTAATAATAATATCATATCTATTATTTGTGTAATATATATTATGAATAAGAATGATCAGTGAGCAATTCTCTTTGGATTCCCCAGTGTTGGTTCCCATTGACTGGCTGCTTCCCAACTGGGAGCTGCACTGTGCCCAGTGAAAGCAGCCCTTTGCCTGCTTGCTTGGTGATGTAGGCAAGAGGATGTGCAAAGCAGGAGAAGATGGTGTCAGGGTTAGAAACTTCCTGGGACCCATGGACTTCCTGCTGAACATCGCAGTCAATTGTTCCACGCGATTCTGATACTATGGATCCTGCACCCCAGTTCATTTGGGTAAAAACCATTAAGGCAACCCTCGCTGCCCGCCCCTCTCACTCTGCTCTCACACTGGCGTCCTGCCCTAACTCCAAGGAGCTCAGGACACCATGTATGAGCCTACTCCAGGTTATCCGCACAATCGTGCAAGGAAGGTTAGACTGAGAAAGTGTGGGTGGTGTGGGGTCTCATACTGGACTTTTTGGTGAAGTGGGATTTGAACTTCTCTTTAAGTCCCAAACCGTGTGTGTGTGTCCACGCGCATGCATGCAAGCTTGCACCTATATAATTAAGCCTACACTTCGAGGCTTCCTGATATTACCGTGTAAAAAATGTATGATACTTCTTAAGTAGAAGGTTGCAATAAATTATCCAGTAGCCTTTAAAATCCTTGAATACATTCCAGAGGTGAACTCTTCAGAGCTCTTCTGACTTGTAGGGCCAAGAGATTTAAGAGCTAACCTTCTGAAGCATTAAGAAATGGAATATGTCAGTTCCTCCACTCAAGGTGGCTCCTGTGCTGTTCGTGGGATCCATTTAGTCCACATTCTCCACAACTATGTCCTATAACTTGCATCTAGCTAGTAACCTAATCTCTCTGTGTGCAATTTAACTCACCCCAGCTTTTAACTCTATACTCTTCTTTTCTTGAAGGTTCAGTCTTCTTAGAAAGCTGATGTAAAGCTCTTGCAGCAATGATGAAGCAAAGACATAGCTAAACTTATAGAATCTTTTCCCACCCTGGGGACCTCCAGATGTTTTAGACTCCAGTTCCCATCAGCCCAGGCCAATATGGCTAAATCGTTGGCATGCTGGTAGTTGTAGTCAGACGCATCTGCAGGCTGCCATGTTGGGAAAGGCTGATTGAAAGCTTACGGATGATGCCCGTGTGCTACTGTGGTCTTTGATTTTGTTAGAGGAGGCCAAGGAGCAGCTCACCTCTTGGAAAGTACGCTCTTACTCTGTATTCAGAGGCAAGCCTGTAATGTTTGGTCTCTTGACTGACTTCTAGGAACTGCTTGGAATGTGTCGGTCTTTTCAGTAAACAGACTGATGGTTCTCCTCTTGTCTCCTAACAGTCCCTTTCCATAGCAATAGGGAGATTTTCACAGAACTTAATCTTTTGGCAGAGTGTTTTTTACGAATGGCTTTGGATGCTTCAGAAATCAAATACTGAGCACTTTGGGCTACCTCACGCAGATAGAGAGAGATGTGGTGATTTCGCCTGTGCTTTTTATTTCAATGAGATGAAGAAATGCACACTTCCTTTTTGGAGCTGTATCATCCAGGATTACACAGGAGATGTTGCCAAGGGGCACTGGCCGTTCGGTCATGGTTTCTGCCGATGCAGTTGGGCATTTGGGCATCCATCCCAAATAGGGAGGTGATGTGTCTCCTTTAACATGTCACTGCCCTCTGTTGGAAGAGCTGCCTGAGGACTGTCATCTATTTTGAGGACATCCTTTATTTGAATAGCTGTGCGGTGCAGTCTGATTTAAAGTCAAAGAGCCATAAGGAGGGAGGATGGCGCCAATCAACAGCAGCAGGCTGGACAAGCCGCGCAGGCCTCCTAGCCACAGATGGGCTCCATTTCTGTTTGAATGCTGATACTTATGGCTAAATTTGCATCTGGGCATATATTGCCATTTGTAACCGTGACCTCCTTTGGGAGGATTCACGAGGGACCTGCCTAATCCCAGGGTGTGGCCTGAAAGCGCGCGATGAAGCTAAGCAGTTGCATTGCTGCTTGGAGGAGAGGCCACCTGGGAAGGAGAAGCCCTGTGCAGGCTGCCTTCAGCTCCGCGATGAAAGGAAGGCTAGACGGGGAAGTAAATGGATTTGAGGCCCCCGCTTTGCTACTTTCATCCTAACAAGCACTGCTTGAAGGGTAAAGCCTCTTGAAGAGCTGTCTCATCGATATGCTTCCCCGAAGAGAGATTTTGAAAGGTCAGCTGGGTGTACCACATCTCATTACCTTCCCATAGGAAGCACCACTCTTTGGAACGTGTCCCACCCGCCTCCACTGGGGCGTGTTTTGTAAGGGGGTCCAAATCTGTTTTGAACAGATTAGTGGCTACCCCAGAATTCCCCTTCTAAGTCTTCCCTTGGGTGAGCACATTACCAGGCAGACTTGGAACCAGCTAAAGCCCACGTCGTGTGGATGGAACCGGGGGATGAAGAGGGCTGTGACGCCTCTGACAGGGCAATCCTACCCACGCGTCTTCATTCTGTTTGGTGGAGTGTAATCCCAAGCAAGCATGTAAAGGGTTGTTTGGTGAAGTCCTACATAAAGGGCTGGCTGCACGCGAGGAGGCAGGACCTTCAGCCCAGGATTCCAGAGATTTCTAGCTAGGAGAGGGCACCCTCTGAAGCAAGCAGCGGCACCCGGGGAAGAGAAGCTGTAAACTGTATTTTAATATCTGCATCAGGTGCATCGGGCTTCTTTCAGCAGAAAGACGATATATTTTTTGAGAAGCTCTCAAGGGCAGCATTCCAGTTGCAGCAGAAAAGGTCAAAAGGGGCACAAAAAAAATGCCAGCATATTTCAACATAAAACTCTTACAGACAGAAATTACACAAAAGGAAAAAAAAACCCAGAATTTGTTTAAAGTCCATTACATTCCTATTTGCATTCCTACCTTTGAGAAAGAAGCTGGATCAAGAGCAGGGTACTGTTAAGCCAGGGGTAAGGGACATTCGGCCCTGCAAGATTTTGTTGGACTGCAATACCCATCATCCTTAGCCAGCAGAGCTAATGATGAGGGATGATGGAAGCTGTAGTCTAACAGCATCAGAAGGGCTGCATGTTCGTGGTTCCTGTATTATATGGAAATCGCTTTTTATATGAACATAACTCCAGTCACAGGCTCTGAGCAGAGAAACCGTATGGATTAAGATGCCACTGAATCAGCCAAGACAACAGACAGTAATTTCCCTTAATTGCTGCCACTGCTTGGTAGGGTTGCTGTGTTGTTTTTGTCTTTTAAGCAAAACAGTTCAGCTCTCATTTTGCTCTATTAATTTATATCAACAAATGCTGGAAGTGGAAGCTACTGCCAGTAAAAGACTGGAAACATGTGACATTCCGGTTGGAGTTACAGTTCACACATCAAACCAATCCAAGGAGATGCGTATGTTGCAAGCATGAAATATGGCTGGAGTTCCCTGCAGTGCTGAAGCAATTTGTCGTGCCTTCATCGTTCTATAATCACCGTTGTTCATGTGTTCTTCAGATAATATTGTGACCACCCGGTTTTCTTGTCTCTAAAGAGCACTCAGGCAAAGGATTTCCAGAGGAGGGAAAGTGACATTTCGCCGCCAAAGGGAAAGAAAGCATGATTTCCTCTTCTGCTAGTGTGCTGTTCCACAGTGCTGGTCAGAGGCGAGGTAACACAGAAGTAGGAGAGGGAGCTCCCTTCATCTGATGCTTGGCTCTCAGTCCTGCAGTGAACCTGAAAGATGCTGCAGGTCCACATTAATGAAAAGCCACATGTAGAGCAGCTCTGGATCAAGCCACATGACGGAAGCAACGGCTGACTGGGCTTGAAGGGAGAAAGAGGCATTTCCTTCTGGGCCTGTTTGGGTCTGATGCAACCATATATAAAAATGGCAACCTCCGTTTGCATCAGCAACACAATCCTGGAAAATATAAGGAGTATGTTTTGGCCAGGGCTTTGGCTATTGGGAGGTACAGAAATTAAGCAAGCAAACTTTTTTTTTACATCCTTACATATTTGAATGCATTTGATCCTGCAGGTTGAAGCATGGCACAGTGTCGTCGCTCTGCTACAACACTCCTCTGTTCAGAGTTGCAGGCCTTTGCTTCAGAATTTATTATTATTATTATTATTATTATTATTATTATTATTATTATTATTATTAGAACATTTCTATGCTGCCCCTTGCCGAAGCCTCGGGGCAGCTTACAACACAATAAAATACAATACAATACAAAAATAACAATATAAAATTAAAATTAATAATATAAAATAAATAAAAAATATAAACGATATAAAAGAAGTTATACAAGAAAAGTTATAAAAGAAAAGAAGTCTCCCTGGCCAGATAAATCATCATTTCTTATGCCCAGTTGATAGCTGACATGTTATGGCCCTTCAGTAGTTTAAGAAGAACCAGGTTCTCTTTGAGGCAGGGATGAAACGACAGACACACTCCCTTTCGCAGCTTTTTGCTGGTCCGGATGGCAGAGGTGTCTCCCTGCCTGGTGTGCAGATCAGCTGCCCAGTCCCTGGACCTGCCGTCTGCCTGCCCCCGCACTGCTGCAGGAGGGCCAGAGCACCCCCCCACTCCCCCCCCCATTTGTCATGCCATCCTGCTAGCACTTCACGTGGGAAAGGACAGGTGCTCCAGGTTTGGGACATCCATTTCTGTCCAGCATCTGTGCTCCTTTCCATATGGTTCCCCCGTGGAATTTGTCTCAGCGAGCCTATATTTTATTTGCAGTGAAGAATGGGGGTGCAAAGATATATACTGATTCCTTCTTATGTGGCAGGGATATTATACCTCCCCTTGAAAGCAGACAAAGTATCGGCTCCTGGGAGCTCGAATTTACCTATGGAAAAAGTTACCTGGGGGCGGGGAGATGTATCATTGTTCTTTTGGGAATGAAATCGCAGAATGGGAATTTATGCTTGTTTCCAAGGATTCAGTGACACATTGTGGCAAAATGGATGAATTGCAGCCCTGTCACACATCTGTAAGCAGAACTGTCCCCAGGACTGTTGTCTTTCTTTTCTTCGGGTTCTACCATTTAGCATAGAGAAGGGGGAATGGCAGGGTGTCCATGGGAATTATATTCCTCTTAGGCCAAATGTAGATTAGAAATCGGATCTAGGAAAATGCGTCATGATACTGTGAAAGAATGTGGTTTCTCATACAAGATTCTTGATAGAGGTGGTTATTCCTCTTCCTCCTCCTCATCATCATCATCATCACCATCATCATAAAGCATGAACCAAAGAAGGAATGCACAGGAATTTTGGAATAACTAGTGCAGGAGGAATGCCCTCCCAGAAGAGTTTATCTGGATGATTTGGGCTTCCAACTAGCATCTGATTGGCTACTGTGGAAAGCTGGGTGCTGGGTTAAATCATCCTTTAGTCTGATTTAGCAGAGCTCTTCCTTTGTTTCCACAGGCACTTGCTGAGCAGCACAGCAGTAGCACAATCCTGCATGTGTCTACTCAGAAGTAGGACCCACTGAATTCAATGGAACTTTAGGAGTAAGCGTCATCCAAGATAACATTTCTTCCTTTTCATTTTGAGGCCCCTCACAGCTGGGATTATGCCCCATGGATCCATGGGAGATGACCGGACTCTCAGTTGTATGCAGCCCTCCTGACGTTGCTGGTCTACAGTTTCTATCATGCCTCACCATTGGTTATTGTGTTGTTGGAAGCCAGGAAACATTTGGTCATTGTTAAAATAGGGAATCTTTGAGAAGTATGGTTATTTGAGGGCAAATCAGTGATAAACCTTGCAAAATCCATTCTATTGTATTCACCATTCACTCCTCTTGCACCCGAGATCGCTGCTTTACCTGGCTGGCTATCTCCAGGTGTCTTTTTCACTGTACTGACTTCCGTTTGCAAATGCAGTTTGTGTTGCAGTATGGAAAAATCATCACATGCGAACAGTTACCAATTACTTCATCGTCAACCTCTCACTGGCCGACATCCTTGTCACCATCACATGTCTTCCAGCGACTTTAGTGGTGGATATCACAGAGACCTGGTTCTTTGGAGACAGCCTCTGCAAGGTGTTCCCTTATTTGCAGGTACCGTTTGCCAGATTTGGGATGTGTATTGAAATAAATAAAGACATTGAAGAAAGTATCCCAATAGAATCTGTAACAGAGAGGCTGTTTTAAGATGAAGTTACGGTAACATTTGAGAAGAGCTGCCATGTACCATCAGGTCAACTTTGAGTTATGGTAACCGTATGAATAAAAGTCCTTCAAAAGTCCATGAAAACCAGTTCATGAAAACAGTGCTCAGCTCTTTCAGGTTCAAGTCTGTGGATTAACTCTATTAGGGAAGAAGGAGGAATATTCTAAAAAATGGATGGATCAGACAGACAGACCGGCAGACAGAGACAGACAGAAAGACAGAAAGACAGACATAATCCGTCATGTCCAAATTCAAGCAAAATTTATTTGAAAGCTTACAGTATTAAATATAAAGTTCAAATTGTGGTCATTATTTTGATTTGTGTGCTGCTCTCCCATAAAATGTGCCCAAAGTGGTGCAGATCACAACGGTAATGCAAAACAGAACATAAATGGGGAACAAGGGTCTAGCAAAGTGATTGACAACGAAGGCCAAGCTCTCACAATGAGTGGGTGAAAAATAAACTGATTTCTGTGCTATACAACTTGAAATTGCACATGGAAGCCCTTGGGATGGGCAGTTGCTCCTTGCTCTTCCTCCATACTACCAAAAATACCTGGGACATAGAACAGCAGGCGTCAGGATGGAGGCCCAGCCTTCTCCAAGACGTGCCAGTTTTCTATACGGTATGTCAAAGTTACTGCGAAACACAAGCCCATTTTGTGAATCCCTGCTCAGTGATAGGGAAACTCACCCATTCCTGTTCTGGCCCTCCAGGGTTCCCAAGGGCCACAACTGGGGGCCACAGTTCCGCCAGCCACTGTCTGTGGGGCTGCCCTGCTTTTTGCGCAAGTTCCTTCCTTTCTAAAGGGTGTTAGGGCCTCTCCTGAAGCTGACTTGCTGGCAGTACGAAGCAATAAGCTGGCTGGCACATGGCCAGCAAGAGCTTTCAGTAATGGAATCCGGCCCTTGGGCTGACAGGTCCAGCAGCCCTGCCCCACATGCAGCCTGAAGATATTTGGGCCAGTCACAGGTTTATCAGTCCATCCATTCTCAGTGAGAACGAGGGCTGCATCCCTTTCCTTTACTTTCAGTACAGCTGCCTTGTGACTATACTCTCTGGATCATTGCCACACTACGAGCGAGTCTTCTGATCCTGAAAGACCTCTCAAAGGCTCCAAGCCAAAGCATTTGCTCTCTGACCGTGACCTTTTTAAAAAAGGCAAAGCATTCTTGTATTATCAGTACTTACACGACTTTCCTATTCTTAGACTGTGTCTGTCTCGGTTTCCGTGCTAACCCTCAGCTGCATTGCGTTGGATCGATGGTATGCTATTTGCCACCCTTTGATGTTTAAAAGCACGGCCAAGAGGGCAAGGAACAGCATCATCATGATCTGGATTGCATCTTGTATCGTCATGATTCCCCAGGCAATCGTCATGGAATGCAGCAGCGTGTTCCCCGGATTAGCCAACAAAACCGTCTTGTTCACCGTGTGTGATGAGCACTGGGAAGGTGAGCGTGCTTTACCTCTGACCTGACCTGACCTGATGCCAGTAAAAAAAAAGGGGGGGGTTAAGAAGTCTGCTGTTGAGCTTTCTGCTAATTATATGGCATTCATTGATGAACCATTATCCTGCTTAATCTCCTTGTTCCACACTCTGCCACCCACCCTTGAGCAAAGACTTCCTAGGAAGCTTGTTGAGCCGTAGCATCTTCTGTGCATATAGCTTCTTTGCTCCAGCTGCAGCCCTCACAGCTGGGCCCTGCACCCGAGCCATTTCACCCTCCCCTTACCCTGCTGAGATGATGCCAGCAGTTTCCTGGGCACTCCCCCCACACCAACAGCCTAAGGCTAACTAGGGTGAGAACCTGAATACTTTCTCCATCAAGATTGCTCCCAAAGGCCCGTGTGGTCCTTCCTTAATTTTCCTACATTCACACTAAGGTTAACAGCAAAGCAAAAGAAGTTTATTTCCACTGGTGGAAACAGATGATACCTTCAGGGGCCCACCTATCAGTTACCATTTTTCAGTTCCAGTCTCCTCTCCACAGGCCCCCTTCTGGACCTTCAGCAGGTTCTGATCGGGCAGTGGAGGGCTCCCTTTTTGCATCCCAATGTGGAAGGACAGGGGGGCCTTCTCACGCTCTTCTCCCCAGGCAGCATCCTCAGTGCTGGGAGTGGCTCTGGACCCTTGGGAATGAGAGTCTGTCCAGCCACCCATCACCTTCCTCTGTTGCCAGCGCCCTTTTGCAGACTTTATTGTCCAACAGGTAAACAAAATTGGCCACCTGATTTTCTTCAAGGGTCTTCATACTGTTCATTTAAGATGAAAGCTGTTTACAGCCCAGCATTAAGTCATTTGTCTAAATGGCTTCAGACTGAAGTATCTCAAAGGCTTCTTTCTTTCAATGAGCGTGCTATCCCTGTGCATTGAGATCAAGCTTCAGGAGGCCTTCTCTGGGCTCTGCAGCCATCAGAAATGTGCTGGGTGCTGACTCAGGATAGGGGCTTTTGGATGGTAGTTCCCTGGGTTTCAAATTCCCTTTCCAAGGGGGTACATTTGATCTGTTTCAGATCTGTCCTACTTCAGCTCCAGTATTTTCACTGGCCAAGAAATATTCTTTTGGAGCTTCTTTACGCAAGGCATTTCTTTTGCACCTGTGATCCTCATCCATGGATGTTTGTGGGGCTTTTCCATGACATTATTGTTCTCTAGGACCCCCAGGGAGTTGTTCAGTCTTTTACACAGTTTTTCTTCTAAACAGCAAGAAATATTTGGAATTAAATTGTAAGGCACAATAATATGTGATGAGGGTCAGTGTGGTGTTAGGAGTGCAGGACTGGGACTCAGGAGATCTGGGTTCTAGCCCCCACTCAGCATGGAGCCAACTGAGTGGGCCAGTTACAGGCTCTCAGCCCAACCTACCTCACAGGGTTGTTTTTGTCAGGATAAAATTGAGAGGAAGAGAATTATGTAAGCAGCGTTCCTTGAAAGGGAAAAAGGCAGGGTATAAAGCTCAAAAACAATTGAAATATAGTAAAAGCCTCATGAAAAGATGAAAATGCACTATATTCCAGTTAAACCCCAGCTCACACTGTGGTTAATTAACAAAATAGAAAGGCAGAAAAATACGAACTCCCAGAAAAGCCCCTGGCAAAAGAGGCATTTTTCCTCCACAACAAAAATGGAAGAAGAGGCCTCTATGCAACATCAGGTTAACCTTCCCATGCAGAGAAACCCCTGACTTGTTTTTGTTTTTTGTTTGTTTGTTTGTTGCTAGTGATACTGTTTGTTATGCTTCAGTTGTGGTACTTGTTGTTTTCTTGTCCTTGCTACCTGACTGTATGTGAGGACTGAACATTTAAATTAAGGGCAGGCCCTCCAGATGCTTTGGCCTACAAGTACCACCAGACACAGTCTACATAACCAAGGGATGGTGGTGGCTGAGGACTAAATCTGCCCTGAGTGGGTTTTACCCTTTAAAAAAATGTATATATACAAATAAAACTTCTGGAGGGCCACAGATTGCCCACCTCCGGTTACAATGCTCTCTCTGCACCTATGGAAAGGAACCTTACCAATCAATGAACAGCATCTGAAGGAAGTGGCTGGGCGGACTCTTTGGTGCGTTTACCTGGAAGTGAGTCCCACTGACATCAGCTGCTTCCCTTGTGCCACATTTTCTGGTCGTTACATGTGAGAAAGGCCCCTTATCCCTAACTGCCAAGCTAAGGCACCTTTTCTCCCCCTGCCAGAATATTGGACTGAAGTAGCTTTACACCTCTGTAATCTCTCTAGTGTTTTAAAGTCTCTTTAAAGTGCCAAAAACAAATCCTGGAACAGAAGTTGCGCTGATTTGTATATGCCAGTGTTTAGGTATAAGAGCATATTTAGACATCATGAATTTCATGTGCATATTTTGTTCATTACATTTATATCCCACCTTTGTTCTGCACAGAATCCAGTCTTTAAGAGCCCACCTCCTCTCAGTCTTATTCTCCCACCAACAACCCTGCGAGGTAGGTCAGGCTACGAGTCAGTGACTCGCCCAGATGCACTCAGTGAGCTTCATGGCTGAATGGAGACAAGGACCTGGTTCTACTGCACTTAAACCAGAATGGCTCCAATTAAACTACAGTACATCCTCCAATTTAAAATTCTGCCAGAGCGTGGAAGAATCATGTGCTTGCCATTTCAGTCCAGATGCTCTTATGGGGAATCAGTTCCTGGGGTTTTTAATCTTTAATCCTGCATGGAAACAGAAGCCCTTCAAAGAGGGGACACACGGTGGACCCTTAGAATGCTCTGATTGGATGACAGAGAATGCCATACAGTGGCGAATGCTGTTCTCTTGGACTCCCCCTGACATAAGACCCAGCAGTCATCTCAGTCAGCTCCTGTGTCCAGAACAGGGAGGGACAGGTGCTATCCTGTCCTTTGTCCAGCCATCCAAGCATTTCGGTGAACCCCGGAAGAGGCGGTGCCTCTGCTGTGTGGCCTTACCCTGCGGCCGCCGTGCTTTGCCCACTCACAACGTCTCAAAAACAAGGACCACAGCCGTCCGGCACATCTGCGTATCTGCATCCCACACGGAGGCACCAGATCCCTGCTCAGCACTTCCATTGATGCTGCTTCACCATCGGCAGCCTCTCACATGGACAATCCCATAAAGATCAGCAAGCCATTTAGGAGACACCAAACGCTCTACCTGCTGCATTTGGTGGACTTCCACCCTCTACCTGCACATTTCTTGTCCTCAGAGGCAAAACCCTCTAGTTCCCTCCCACTCTTTGTTATCCCGTCAGTCAGATCTAATTATTACGGCCTTGGTAGAATCTTTAGCTTCACTTAAAGAACACCACTTTAATTTTACTTAAAACCCTTAAGCAGCTGTTAAGCAAACTATGTGCCCTGGGTTTTCTTTGAAGTCTTGGCTCCAGCGCTTCCTTCTGCCCCTGGGGCTACTTCAAAGGAAAACGCTGCTCTTCTTCCATTCTGATCAATCATCAGCTTCTACACAGGCTTGGTGGCTTCTGCATTTTTCTCCCCCTTTTACAAAAAGGCTTTTTAAATTAGAAGCTACAGCCCTCTGAAGGTTGTGAAATAAATACTGCAATTATGCTTGCCCTGTGCCACTGCAAGGTCACCATGGAAGCAAGCAGATGGTGCTTCATAAGATTGGTTAGTTCTGCCACTAGCCAGCCAAGAGCTCAAATCCTTCAGGTAATGGTAATTTCCCCTGCAGTAAAATCTCAAAATCTCAGTTACAGTCCTGGCTCCTGAAAGTGGTGCTGAAATTAAGATTCAGATGTTCTCCTACTTAGTTGCGGATTTTGCCTACTGTGCCCGATCAGCAACTTTGCTCTTCCTTGCCTGCTTCTTGGGAAATACACAAATCAGTTCAGACAAACTTCACGGCTACAGAAGCTGCCACATGGCAAATCACGGGTACTGATCTGGGCCAGCGGAGGGCTCTGCATGAGCACTTCAGGCTGGACTGCCAGCCAGCCAGTAATTCTTTCATTTGACCGTTAATAATGGATAGTCCTGCTGTTTAGGGTGTTTGTAGATCAGGTAACTATAGCCAGGCTGGGCCCAGATTTCCTCTCTAGCCTTTCCCATGGTAGCCCCTCCAGCCCTCTGAAAATGCCACGCAAAGAATCAGGGAGCCCAATTCTGTTGCTGCAGTTGATTTGTTTAAAGAGTTGAGAGCCATGATGTGGGAGGGAGGGGGGAACATTCACCCTCGAATGGGCGAGGGGCTTTTTGCAAGCAAAGCTTTTCCCTTGGTAGAATGTGGATCCTGGATCCAATCTGCTGTATTTCAAGTGTTCTCATATGAAAATATTAATGATTAGTATGTGCTTTATTCTTATTGTGAGCTGTTCTGTGCAGTGGAAGGGTGGGCGGGAGGCTTTCAGCAAACAACATTTGCAGAGAAAACAATAGAATAGGGAGGACCAGAGATCTCTTCAAGAAAATTGGAGATATGAAGGGAAAGTTTCATGCAAAGATGGGCATGATAAAGGACCAAAATGGCAGGGACCTAACAGAGGCAGAAGAGATTAAGAAGAGGTGGCAAGACTACACAGAAGAACTATACAAGAAAGAGCTTAACGTCCCTGATAACCTCAATGGTGTGGTCACTGACCTCGAGCCGGACATCCTGGAATGTGATGTCAAATGGGCCTTAGGAGGTCTGAGCAACAACAAAGCTAGTGGAGGCGACAGTATTCCAGCTGAGCTATTCAAAATCCTAAAAGATGATGCAGTGAAAGTGCTACACTCAATATGCCAGCAAATTTGGAAAACTCAAGAGTGGCCACAAGACTGGAGAAGATCAGTTTACATTCTGATTCCAAAGAAGGGCAATGCCAAAGAATATTCAAACTACCACACCATTGCACTCATTTGGTGCAAAGTTATGCTCAAAGTCCTGCAAGCTAGGCTCCAGCAGTATGTGGACTGAGAACTACCAGAAGTACAGGCGGGATTTCAAAGAGGGAGAGGAACTAGAGATCAAATTGCCAACATACATTGGATCATGGAGAAAGCTAGGGTGTTCCAGAAAAACATCTACTTCTGCTTCGTTGACTATGCTAAAGCCTTTGACTGTGTTGATCACAACAAATTGTGGCAAGTTCTTAAAGAGATGGGAGTACCAGACCATCTTATTTGTTTCTTGAGAAACCTACATGCGGGTCAAGAAGCAACAGTGAGAACTGGACATGGAACCACTGATTGGTTCAAAATTGAGAAAGGAGTTCAGCAAGGCTGTATACTGTCGCACTGCCTATTTAACCTATATGCAGGGCATATAACATGAGGTTTGGTTCATTTCTTGGCCAAAAGGTTATCATCTGAACTGGCCCAATAAGTTTGCACTGTGCATTAGCAATATGTAAAAATGAACCACGTCAAGTGAGCAAGATGGTATTTATGGCATACCCTTTCATTTTCTTTGCAGCTGATGTCTACCCCAAAATGTATCATTCATGTTTTTTCCTGATAACATACATGGCCCCACTGTGTCTCATGGTACTGGCCTATTTGCAGATATTTCAAAAGCTGTGGTGCCGACAGGTAAGCTCTTTTGCTATGTGTTTCATTTTTGTAACCAAATGATCCAGCCTCCTAAATGCCATAGTGCTTTTATATATTTGAACTGAATAATATATAATTCACATAGAAGAAATATTTCATCCAAAGTGAATAATATTCTATTCTGGACCATCATAGAATATCAATTCATATGACAAATGGAAGTGATTATACACAACTGATCTACACATTCATCACATATGAATCTGATGTTCAGACTAAAGGGCTGAAATGATGACCTATAAAGCCCTAAACGGCTTGGGTCCTGGTTACCTGAAGGAGCGCTTGCATCCATATATGCCCAGCCGCCCCTTGAGATCGGCGGGGGAGGCCCTTCTCCGGGAACCCTCCATGAAAGAAATTAGGAGGGTGGGTACTCGGAGGAGGGCTTTCTCTGCGGTGGCGCCTAAGTTATGGAACGTGCTCCCCAGAGAGGTCTGCCTGGCGCCGTCATTATTTGTTTTTCGGCGCCAGGCGAAGACCTTTTTATTCAAGCAGCATTTTAACTGTTAACATTATTGGTTTTATCTGGCCAGGGCAGCTTATTTTATACTGTACTGCTGTATTTTAATTTTATATTTATATTTTAATTTATATTATAATTATTTTAACTTAATGATGTGAGCCGCCCCGAGGCTTCGGCGAATGGGGCGGCATAAAAATGTTTTAATTAATTAATTAAATAAATAAATAAATAAATAAATAAATAAATAAATAAATGTAATAATGGGATGTAACAGTTTTCTTCAGGGTTTCATTACTTACCTCTGAGTCAAGGGATGATAAAAGGAACTAGATTATGCAAAAATAAGTGTTTCATTTCTTTCCAGAAATATTTATATTGTATTTACAAATGTGCTGGGTTCAGACATCAAACTAACTCACTCTCAGCTGCTTGATGAAGGATGTCATAGAACCATGGGTTGAAATATGGGTTATCATGTTGTCTGAACCCAACCAAGATATGAATCCAACTGTGGGTTCTCTTCATGGTTTGTTTACAGTTAATAAGCCATATTTGGGTTCAGACAGCAAAATAACCCATGTTTCAACAACAACTCCCACTCCACTCATTCTCAGCCCTGGACTGAAGGTTATCATATTGTTTGAACCTAGTTACTTTGAATCTGTTTGTTTGTTTGCTGGCGTACATTGTTATGATTGTTACTACTTCCACTCATGGAAAATAGCGTAGCTGCTTTTCAAGTATCGTTGTCAAAGTAAAAAAGGTATTACACTAAGAGGAAACCCACTGAACCTGTTTAACATCTATTATCTACTGGGATTTGAGTCTTTTATCATGTCAGGGACAGTGGGTTGATCAGGCATGCCTTATTTATTTGTTAGAGTCACTGAAAGTGTAGTGCATAATTATATTCCAGAGATACAAGAGCTTATTAACAAATACAGCTGTCCATCAGTTAAGCCTGTCATTTATCAGCTTGATTTTTGTATGTATAAAATGATGGAATCATTTTCAAAGACAGATAAAATTCCAGAACAGATTTGTGAAACTTGGGCTGTTTTAAAAGACAGCTGCTCTGGGAGCAGTAGACCCCCAGATCTTGCGTAATCTGCTTTGTCTTATGGTCCCCCTTCCATGGCTAGCTGGGTATTTCAGAGCTGTGATAGAACACTGATGCATCATAGAAGCAGCTCACCAGAACTAGCGGCATGGGGCCGGTGTGGCCCTTTACAGCACCATGATACAGCACCGTGACCAGGCAGTAGCAGCGACTTCTTCTAGATGCAATGCCACACAAGGCATCCAGGCACGAATGTGAGGGCGATCTGGCTGCGATATCTGTCACCCCATTGATCGTCAGGGTTGATTCGGCTGATCTGGCTGGCTAGGCGGGTGTCCCCTTCCTCCCTCACCGCTCCATGTGCGTCCCTCCCGAAGCTGTGCGCTCGGTGGAAGAGGACGACCATCCCAGATAGAAGGAGTGTACCGTTCTTCGGTCAAGGGTATACGATAGCTGCGCTCCCCTGCTAGAACCTCCAAACAAGCTCTCAAGGTCCATTTGTAGGAGAACGTAGGGTAGTCAAGCTTCCAAGACTCCAGATACATCCAAGTGAGGCGCTGCACGTGGCAGTTTGCTGTTCTTTTGAGAGCCAGGGTGGTGTTTTGGTCAGAGTGCTGGACAGGGGACCTGGGAGGCCTGGGCCTAGTCCCCACTCAGCCATGGAGCTCGCCGGGTGACTCTGGACCAGTCACTCCCTCTCAGCCTAACCTCCCTCACAGCTGTGAGTTATGTTGTGAGGATAACAGTGGAGCTGTGTAAACTGCCTTGGGCTCCTTACAAGAGGAATAAAGGCAGGATATATGTGCAAGAAGATGACGATGACAGCGACAACGAGGATAAGCTGTGTCACATTTCATGACACTCCAGCAACTCTGCTGGATTCCATCTTCAGGGCCCTCTTGATTCAAATGCTGAGGGCTGCAAATTCCAAATAGGAAAGGATAAACAAAATGAAAATAATTTTGCAAGGGCATCTTTAGTTTTACTTAGAGACACGTGACTGCATTGCTATTAATAGGCCGGATCCCAATTCTGCCATACCTTGAGTGGACCCTCAAGATCAATAGGATTTGGGTTAGTTATGATTAAATTGTCCTATTGATTTCCATAGGTCTGCTGCACATGAATGCATCTCTGTGTGCTTTAAATGTCTCTGTGCCGTAACTGCAGCTGGTTGATCAATGCAGCAAAGTCCCCCTCCAGGCCAAGGGCAATTGCCACTGTGAGGTTCCAGTCACTGTGCTCTGTTAGATTCCAGGAACGACATCGGTGGTGCAGAGAAAGTGGAAGCCTTTGCAGTTTGCAGCGCAGGCCCGAGAGCTGAGGCCAGCAGCCAATCTGAGGATTAGCGCTGTGGCTGCTGAAATCAAACAGATCCGGATCAGGAGGAAAACAGCGCGCATGCTCATGGTGGTGCTTCTGGTGTTTGCCATCTGTTACCTCCCAATCAGCATTCTCAACCTATTAAAAAGGTAACCTTCCTTTTTAATAACTAACCTGTTGGGTTTGTGGTTTCTCTGCCATCCTTTCTGTTCTGTTACACAACCACAAGGAGGTGCTGCATTACAAAACAATTGTGAAATACACGCGGCCATTTTGTGTGGCTTCCTGGTGCAGTAGGAAATAGCACCTGGTTTTCCTCACTCAAAACCTGTGAAAATGGCCTGAAAGTAGGATTGGCCCTGGACAATGAAACATGATTATGCAACAGGCCAGCAAACTTCCATGAGCAAGTGAGAAAGGGAGCACCATAAAGAAGCCCCAAAAGTACATTTTCAATTGTAGATCAGAGACATCACCCTATAGCAATGGCACTTCCCAGGGCATGATTTTGGTTCAGAAGCTTCAGCTGGTACAGGATCCTGGTGAGAGCCAGGCAGCCAACTCGTATGGAATCAACTTCTCACAGGGATGTAGCAGGCTCCTACCCTGCAGGTCTTCAGGCAGGCTGAAGGACCACCATACTTAATGGTCTTCCCTATCCGTTTTTACTGACAAATAGCGGCTTTTTAACAGTATTAATTGGCAAAGTCATTTTTATGGATTTCATTTAAAATTGTACAGCTTTTTAAAAACTGTAACTACTCCTTGCCATTTTCGTCTTGCATGCTGCTTTAAGAGGACTGGAGCATTAAAGGCTTGTTTGAAAGGAGAGAGTAGATAGATAGTAATAATAGAAGTACTGAGAATGGAGAAATCCGTGAGGCTAGCTGCCTGGTCCTGAGGCAGTCGCTTTGTTCACAGCCGTCTGCTGTGGGCAGGGTCTCCCCGAGGTCTCCAAAAGGCATTTGTTTCATCCCTGTTCCCCAAAATTGTTTTTAGTAGGCATGCAGGAAACCAAAACTTGGATGTTCAAGAGAAAATCTGCCCTAGCTGTGAGCTGATGTGAGAAGTATCTGGTCTTTAGACTTGGTGGAGAGCTGGGCCTGGTCCACTCTGCACTATGGCCAGAGCCGCCAGAAGTAAACATGGTTGTGCTGGAGGTGGAGAGCCATGACTGGCGTCTCAGCAGAACAGGGTGTTTCCGCTGCTTCTTGAAGGGGCAAAAACGGAGAAGGAAGAAGTGGAGAGCGGGATGGGAAAACTTGTCTGGAAAGCAACATTGTTCTGGGAAGAGCAAACCTGGTGGCAAACCTTGGCCTACAACCTGTCCTGTATGAGTCTGAACGTATAACTTGGAAGTGCATCAGAAATTTTAATGAAATTGATAATTAATGAAAGGAATTGATTTCAACTGAGAGGGAGATTTAACCCATCCCTCCCCAGCCATGATCCCAAGGAAAATCACAAGCACAAACTGCGGTTAGCATTAAGGGGAAAACCCCATTGGCCCATAAGAGGCTTCCTGCAACAATAACAGGAGTATGGAGAGGGGAAAGTTAACACGATTCATGCAAGTAGCGGTCCCAGTGAAGATCCCACGCACCCCATTAAAATATATTTTAAAAAGAAGAAGAAGAAAACACTGGCATGCTTCCAGATGACAGGTTTTGTGTCATGTCTAGCTTAACCCTGAAAGCGGCAACAACTTGGCCAAAGGACCAAGTGAAAGGAAATGATAAAGGATGCAAGACATAAGTAAAGACACTAGAGGGCATTCCAGCCTAAGGACTACAATGAGCAGAAGGTGGGCTACTTGAGCAGATAAGCTGTAAATAAGAAACTGGAGCAACACACTCTGATTATTTCGTCTCACTGAAGAAGCAGGTTCCAAAAAGAACAGAGGAGGCGGCCGAGCTGCAGCCCTTACCTCAACCCTAGCTGAAGTGGAGTGTAGGCTTGTGTTTTGAAGCCAGCAAAAATGGAGAGTTCATATAATTCTTGTTCCCAAACTGGTCTCCAGATTAGGGCTGCTTTGCATTTTGGCCTTTCAGAATGTGGGCAGAAACCGCCCCAAGTCCGGAAAACACCCAAATGATCAGCGGCTGGAAAAATGGAGGGTGGAACCAGAGGAAGTGGCGTGGGGTATGTGGGGAATCTCATACTCTGGGCCTGAGGTTCGGCATCTCTGTTGAATATGGACTGCCATCTTTCCAATGGGCTTGCAGTGTTTTTACCAGATGGTGTGCTGAATAAGTTTTTGGCCTCTGACTCCTCTTCCAAAATGTTCCAAATTTTTCAGAAAGTTGTATATTACGAACTTCCATTTAGCCTGAAGTACCAGATCCTGCCTAATCTTGGAAACCAAGCAGGGTTGGACCTGGTTGAAATCTGGATGGATGATTTAATGTTGTGAACCACCGAGAGAGCCTTGGCTATGGGCAGTAGAGAGATGCTGATGCTGATGATACCAATTGATTTCAAAGAGATTTAAGCTTAATTCTAGGAGATAACTAGGAGAAGGGGCTTCTCAGCCATCGCACCTCATCTCTGGAACATGCTCCCAAGGAGGTGCACTTGGTGCCCTCCTTGTTTTCTTTTTGATGCCAGGAGAAAATGTTTTTATATGCCAGATATTTTAATTGATAATATCAGTCGCACTATACTAGCTTCTATATCAAACATTAATTTTTATGTTAAGTGCTGTAGGTTGTTTGAATGCTTTTTTGTTGTTTTTCTTTATTTCAATGTTATTTTATTATAGTTTTTAAAACTGTAAACCACCCAGAGAACCCAGAGGGTTATATGGCAGTAAATAACAGTAAATAAATAAATAAATAGTTCTAGACAGGTTTATGGATGATTCTTCCGTGTGGAAGAATGCATCTAGCATAAATATTTATTTTTATTTGAAAACATATTTTAACCCTCCCTTGCATCAGTTTTTGTCATGAAACAAAGACGAGATCAATTAAAAACAAAAAGCGGTAGATCAAAGTTGGAACAAAACATGTTCCATGCAAAATAGTAAAACCCGTTTCGAAGCCAGAAGAAGCTTTTGCTCAGCCATGGCAGCTTTGTTAGCGGTATCAGTGACTCCTTATATGACTTTTTATAGTTGGAAGTTGGCTGCTGAGAAAACATTCCCTTAGCAGATAAATTGCATGTCACTTGTGGAAGAGGGACATGGAGGGAGAATTTCAAGGAACTGATCAGCGGCTTGTGTCCATGCCCAAGTGCAGCATCCCAGGCCCTCAACTAAAACTCTTAGGATCCCAGTCCGATACTCCAGGATATCCTAGAAGACCACAATTCTTTCCTTTGACCAATCTACCTTTCTCTCATCCAGTGATCGCTTGATGATTTCCCAGCTTTGGGGCAGTTTCCCCCCATTGCAACAAGCCTCTTCTAAGCCTCAGTTACTGGCAGCGAGAGCTTTAAGCTACAATATGCCGGTATTCTGCCTACAGCCCTTTTGCCTGCAGTCTCACCCACCACTGGAATATTCTCTCCTCGAGCTTCTCCAAAATAGCATTCAGCCCTTGGTCTGGAAGCGGCTCTGCCCTGCCAGCCTATGGGTAGAGCTATTTAGTTGTCTTGAACACGGACATGGTGTATGGTTCCTTGCCCAGGTAAGGATACACCAAATTCAGCATACAGGTGATCCTTAGCTGAATGGAGGCATATGGGAGAAATGTTGAAACCACGTATTGGATTTGTGCCGTCAGAGAACTTGGTGTTCCTATAGGTAGCAATGTGACTGTCGTCTTTGTGGTCTCCCACATTCATGTGTACCCTATGGAAATATTTGCAGAGTATCCAGATCAGAACTAATTTGAGATGTTTTCTGTTTCCTTCTCCTCTTTTTGAAAGGGTGTTTGGGATGTTCAACAATGCTGATGATAGAGAAACTGTGTATGCCTGGTTTACATTCTCCCACTGGCTTGTATATGCAAATAGTGCAGCAAACCCAATTATTTATAACTTTCTGAGTGGTAAGTTGAACACTTCTTTCTCCAGCTATCAAGCAGAATGCAATAAATTGGCCCATACAGAGGCACTGCAGCACTTTTAATGTTGAATATGCTACTTGGAGGGCTGCAAGCAAAACTCATGAAACTGAGACTGTTGGAGGCATTTTAAGAAGGCAAGACTCACTATGTGCTCCTTCCTTCACCAAAGGCGGCATGCCCATATGCCCCAGTCGCTGGGGAGCTTGGGCAGGCAGAGGTCTTGCATCTCTCCTGCTTAAGGGATCCTGTGGGCAGCTGGTCTGCCTCTACGCATACAGAGTGATGCACTCGATGGATCATTGCTCTGGCCCAGGATGGCTTTTCTTAGGATAGTAAGGAAGCGTTGAGCCAATAATGCCCTGCAAAGATGAAGGAAGGAGGATGCCATCAAGTATGAGATGGAAGGTTGCCATACAGGAAGTCGGAGCTCTGGGCTTGCAGAAACTGAGCAGGGCTGCCAATGACGGGGCATTTTGGAAGAGGGTCACCGTAAATCGAAAAAGACCTGACAGCGTGTAACAACAACGGATACTGTTTCATGATACTTTGCAAGGAGAGGTCACTATCTTTCCCGTTACACAGTTGGAAGAGACATAGGAAACAAGTTACCCAAACAATCCAATAAATAACACAATATACTGCAAACACTTTAATTCACGATATGGAATTGTAAATTAATTCATTGGGCGGCCCCTGGGTTCCGTGTCCAATGTCCCTATGCAGCCCTCGAGGTATGAAAAGTTGGACCACCCCAGTCTTGGTTCTCTGCCTGATCTTGCATCCTAGAAATAAAGGCTGCAACTCCACGGAAGCCTGCACAGATTCAGAGCATTCCACACTGTAGGCATCCACTCTTAATGTGTGTGGGGTGGGAAGAAGGGGGGAAAGAGGCATGGAGCTCTCTCCATCAGCCTTGTTCTTGCATCTTCATTAAGCTCAGAATAGAATGCCTGAATAGGGCTAATGAATCATAAAACCTGAATCAGATTTGAGCTTCAGCCTGTAATTTCAGAGGGGGTGGGAGTACAGACTATTGGTTTTTCTTTCTCCCATTTGAACCTTGTTTAGCTCTCTGAATAACAAATGTGTGTTAACAGTGGATCCAATGCCTGTTCAACCAAGATGCTGCAGGCTCTGCAGAGCTATCCTGACATCTTTGGTTTCCAAGTAGAGGTGACCTTCCATGCCTAACATTTGACCAGGGCCACTGCGTTTATTCCAGCAGATGGAGGCAACTGCAGTTGAAAGGAGAGGGAAATCTGTGTGCCGGAAGGCTAAGCCAAGGCTGGCTTGTGCTAGCAGCAGTTCCGCTCTTATAAGCCAGGGCATGTGATTTTTGCCCGCGCTGCCCCCAGTTGCTTGAGTCTTCATCCCATACTGTTCAGGAGGGTCCACCAACCCACAGAAGCAGCTGTGGAGGGAGCTGTAGTATTGATGGGGATCAGAGAAAAGCAGGTGGTCCCTGTTGCTTTCTGCCAGAGCACGGGGTCGAACATGTCTGGCCTGAAGGCCACAGCAAGTCCGGCACACTCGGTTTGGCTGCTGTTAGAAAACCAGCATCTGCCCCTGCCAAAAGACAGAGCAAGGAGGAGAAAGCACCCTGGAAGCAGCCTCTATGGCTCCGGAGCCTCATCCCTAGAGTGACCCAGCAAGAAGTGGGACTTCTTGCAATGCTTTAGCTATGGGTCCTCGCAGTATGGCAGAGCCACAGCACCTGTTCCCGGGGTGCTACTTCCCCTCCTGTTTGGTGCTTGTGCTGGATCAGTGGGATGAGAAGAGCGCTCCAGAACGGAGGCTGTTACTGCAAGACCAAGACAGGGGAATAAGCTGCTGGGGTGGGAATGAACACAGAACGCATGAGTGCATGTGCATAAACACTCCTGTGCACAGTCCTTGCAGCCCCAGCGGACTCTCAGGGAGGACCTCAAGACCAAAAAGGGCATCTGCCCCTGCGCTAATATAATGTGTTTGTATACAGAGAACATTATATATAAAAATCGTTAATAATGATAATTAATAATATACATAATATAAGTCAGCCCAATGTCGTTTCCATGCTGTGCAAATTAAAACTTAGCACCTTAACTTGACAGTTTCAGCTTTTCCAGCTCATGTGTGAATTTGAAAATGGATTAACATGAATGGAAGATTTTTACATATTGGAAGGTTTCTCTTGCCTTTGGCTCATAAATGTGCTGCAGAGGTTTCCACTAAGCTGAAGGGAGAAGGCCTCCTGTGGGAGAGTGGCCTCGGAAAGCAGGGATCCAGAGGTGCTCCCCTCCAAGCCCAAGGCATCCACCAGAACCGCATGCTATAAGGCAGGCTAAAAGTTCCAATAGGGATGCAGGTGGACTTGGCGCAGGGAAGCCTTCAGTTGCCCCCCCCCCCCACTTTTTCCCACCAGCCTCTGTATCAGTGGTTGGCCTTGAGTCCTCCTGCTGGTCTCTGCTGCCAGCATTCCTAACAACAGAGGCGCAGCATCAATTTTCAGCTCACAGTCCTCACCAATTTCACAATGTATGTGCATGTCCATGTGGAGGGGACATGGGGGAGAAAGGCGATGCTTCTTTTTAGTGACGACTGGACATGCCCAATGCTATTTCATCATATCCTTTGGGGAACCCCATTTATCTGAGCAGGAGGCATTGAAATAAATGCATAAACAATGTACAATCATCTGCATAAGACTTGCCATCTTATTGCCTCTTCAGAATTTCTCCAAATGGTATTCATGGTATTAAAGACACAAACAAATTTGGGTTTCATTTTTGCATGTACCTTGTTAGCTGAATTACATTTTCTGATGCTTCTGGTGCTCCTTGATTTGACAGGGAAATTCCGCGAAGAATTTAAAGCAGCTTTTTCCTGCTGCTGCTTTGGCATTAGACACCACCATGATGAACGACACAGAGGACGGACAAGCACAGAAAGTCGGAAATCCTTGGCCACTCAGCTCAGCAATTGTGATCATGTTACAAAGCTGTCAGAACATGTTGCTTTGAGCAACATAAGTACACTACCAGCGAATGGCACTGGATCCATTCACATCTGGTAGCAAATTAGTGTCTGTGTCATTTACCACCATTGTAAACTAAGATCTCTGCATCTGATCATAGAAACGGATAACCAGAACATTACGGAAGCAAATGGAATGTCAGACTCTGAACTAACACAAAGTCAGGTTAATGTACAAAATGTGTTTTGTAAAAGAAAGCACAGCTTTGTTTTGAAGCTAATGTGATTTTCATCACATTTGCTTTTCAACTGTAAGAAAACATTGCTTTGGAAAGATTAAATTATTTTTTATATCTTCATTGGTCTGATCTTCTGCTAGATTTAATTTCTCAATGGACTGGGTACATCCTGTGTTTCACTAAAAGTTTCATACTATTGACAGTAAGGTGAAAACATAGCAATGCAAATACACATTATAACCCATGTTAAGTTCTTTCCCTCTCATTCTCTATGTGCAAGCAAAACTTAATAGTGGTCTGATATTGTGTATACTAATAATGCACTCATTCTCCGAGTGTGAACCTTTTGGTAGTCAAAGTGCTGCCATCCACACATAAGACTGAGGTCCTAGTAGGCTTTGAAGAGCCCAGTAATTTGCAAATGAACATCTACCCCACCCCACAAAAAAAAGTTCACAAAAAAATCTAAAAGAAGAGCAAGGAACTCAAATACATCAATGAAAATGGAGAATGCACAGTTCCATGGAATGCTGACTGAGGGGCAGGGGAGGAAAACAGGATGGAAAATGGAATGGAATATCCTGGAAAAGAATATGGGTACCCCATGCTGCAACATTCTGTTGCAGGTCCAATTTGTTCTGACAATTCCTAAATTGAGCTGTAACCACAGAGCCAGTGTGGTGTAGTGATTGAGAGTGTGGGACGGGGACTCGGGAGACCTGGTTCTAGTTCCCAGTCAGCCATGGAGTCAACTGGGTGCCTTTGGGCCAGTTACAGACTCTCAGTGTGGCCTACCTCACAGGGTTGTTGTTGTGAGGATGAGATTAAGAAGAGTATTGTGCAAGCTGCCTTGAGTTCCTTGAAAAGAGAACAGGTGGGACACCAAATATAACATATAAATGTAATAATAAATCAATCAATCAAAAGCTACTTCAGACTGGCGGTCAAGCAATAAAGGAAAGATGCGATCATCGTCATTATCGTTGTCATCAAACTATTTAATGAACATCTTTTGCAACCCTTTGAAGGCAGCATGTTTGGGGCACAATCCAGGGCCCATGCCCTCACTGAACAGAAGCCCCCTAGGCGTGGAACTAGGCACTGCAGTCTCCAATGAGACACGTTCTGCCATGTCTTTTCTGCAGATGGTCATTTTTGGCTGTGCCAGGAAGGAAGAGAGGCAGAGGCCGGGGCACTGCTAGGAATCAGCACAAGCTATTCAGCCCAGCCTCCTCCTCTGCCCACAGCCTGGCATGCCTCTTCTCACAATCTCCATACTTGTGACCTTGCGGGTGTGCAGCTGGCACGGTCCTTTCCATGCTCGTCCTGGGGGAATGGCACAGGGTTCAGCCTTCAGATCCCAGCTCAAGATCACAGGAACTCGGAGGTGGGCGCTGGAACAATTCTAGGGCCTCCCAGATGGTGCTGGTCTGTGTAGAACCACATCCCTATTGTGGCATAACCCTGCTAGCTGCTGCCGTGCCACAGGTGTCTTTGTTGCGTCTGCTGCAACAGATTAATACAAAATGGCGATCCCGCTGGAATTCGTGCAGCACGTTAATCCGTCCCCATGCCATGACTTCCTAGCCCAAAGGCCCATGGCAGTCCCCTGCACCCAAGGACAGGCCCCCATGTGGCTGCTTCCCGGCATCCCATGCACAGCACTGCCTTGGACCAGGGGTGTTGGAACTGGTTGAGCCTAAGAGCCATTCAGTTTTGGGGAGCTCTTGAAAACCACATTGGAGTGGTGGGTGGGACCAGCGGTGAAAGGCATACTTGAGTTTGAAGCTTTTGCTGCCCGTGACCAAGCCTTTGGAGAGGCGTTCCAGAGGTTTACAATGGGGAAGGAGCGGCCCAAAAGCTGAGGTAGCACATGACTGGTGTTTGGAGAAAGGTCTGTGGCCCTGTGGGGAGCCCCATAGGGCCAGATTAGAACCCCAGGCCCATGGGGGTAACATCCCTGCTCTAGACTGAGGGTCTGAGCCCAAAAAGCAGGCTGGAACTTACTCCTTGGTGGAGGGCAATTTTCGTAAAGACTCTCCCTTCTACATCCCTCATCCAGGCCTGCCTCCACCCGGGGACCCCCATGGCTTCTTTGTATGCTGTTTCCTTAGGCCATCCAATTTTATGACTTGGTCTTGTTTAGCTCCTGTAGAGCAGCGATCTCCCTGAGTCATATGTTGCTCTAAGAAATCAACTGCCCAAAGGGCCATTTTCTACTTCGCGCCCTCCTTTGCTTCCAACTTCTTCTGATTCCCTAGTGTTGAGAGCAACCTCCCACTTGGACATTTGAGGCAACAACCAACTGGGCCCGTGCAAAAAGTCCCGCTGCACCTTAAGACTAACAAATCCATTCCAAGCGTAGCCTTTGTGGATATCAACCACTTGGCCGGCTGCGTCCGAAGTCAGCCTTCGCACAAGTGCCTGCCAGAACAAGGTGCCCCGAAGCCCCTTGTCGGTTCTGCCATGGCAGGCTGAGCAAGGCAGCTACCCCTCTGGAACTGAACATCCCACAGGATTCATCCGGCTTGACAAGCCCCCGCGCCAACGATCAGCAGCTGCTCGCAGAACTGCTGGTGCTGCTGCACCGGTGCGGTGCGAAGGGGCCGGAGCCGCTCCGCCCGGGCGGCGGGAGGGCGGGAGGGAGGGAGGGAGGAGCGGCGGGAGGGGCGCCCGCCGGAGCCCTCCCGCTCGCTCGCCCGCCCGCTCGCCGCGCGCCCGGAGGGGCCAATCGCGGGCCGCCCCGCGGGCAGGGCGCTGTCCCGCGCGGCCGGTGCTGAAAGCGCGGGCGGCGAGCCGCGGCAGAGCGAGCCCGGAG